AGCCAAGAACTAGAGTGAGGAGAGCTCAGAATCTGAATGTCCACCCTTAGTCTTTTAATTTATATGAGTTAGGATGGTCAGCTACAAAAGAACAAGTAGATATGCAGTGTTTTGCTTTATAATCAAATAAAGTATGAATTGACATTGATTTGACACATAGTTGTTACATGCATGATTAACAGTGCACAGCAAGCAGTTACAAATGCTGGTCGTTACTGTACATTTACACTTCCAAATCAGTTCTTCTCTTTTTGTCACCCGAATGACAATTTTTAGCTGATAGAGGAAATTGCAGTTACTCATTTCTATTGACATTTGTTGTTCTTAAAAAACAACAAAGGTTCTTTAGATAGTTGCCAAACAACCTGTTTAATCTTAATAGTGATCTTTCTCTTTTCTTAGGAATAGCCAGCATATTAAGGGTATAGGGAAACACATAACTTGCTGATGCTGTGTAAATTTGCACAATTTGGTGGGAAAGCAACTTGGTAATCATGAAAACTCCTTTTAAAATGTTTATGTCCCTTTAAACATTTGAGGGAATCCATCCTAAGGGGAAAAAAATTATACCCGACCAAAACCTATACACATAGGTATTTGTTGAGGTAAGGTTGTTTTTAAATAGTGAACATTGGAAAAACCTAAATGTCCGGCTATGGAATGAGTAATTTACTGGCTGAGTACATTTGTTGGTTGAATATTATAATACATTTTTTTTAGAAAATATAATTTACGTGAAATGTTCATAGTTGTATATATTTTTAAGAGCAAAATTAAGGCCCAAAATTGTATGGCAAGTGCGTTTTATTTTGCTGTGAAAAAAAAATATGTAAAGTAAAAAAACCAAACAAACCATTAACAGTTGCATTGGGTTTTGGAATTGTAATAGTTTTTCTTTCTTTCTTTTTTTTTTTGCCTAAGTTCTGGGTCTAACTCTTCAACATCAAAGATCCCTTATAGCATCCCCCGCTTTTTCTTTTTACTTTTTCTAAACCCTTCAAGCATTTGGTTGAGGAACTTTTTGTTATTGTTGTTCAAATGTGTTTTTATTTTTCTTTGACAGTATACCTATGAGAGAAGTTGATGGATCATTTTGCAGTTCTAGGTTGTTTTTTTTTTGTTGTTGTTTTACTTTTCACTTATAGTTGACAAATAATTTGTATTAATTTCAGGTGTAGAGCGTAGTGATTAGACATTTATATGACTTGTGAAGCAATCCCCCCAAGAAGTCTAGTATCCATCTGGTGCCATACATAATTATTACAATATCATTGACTGTATTCCCTATGCTGTGTTTTGTATCCTTGTTACTAATGATTGTGGAACTTTTAGAGTAAACAGAAATATGGGTCTATAGAACAGAGTTGGAAATGGATTTGGGGGCAAGGTGTGTGTGATGATGTTAGCAGTGACATGATTTTTTAGGGTTTTCTGACATGAACTTTAAATAGGACCTTGGCTAGGTCAGATTTTCCTTCCAGTCTGTGGCACTGTGTTGTGATAGTACTTAAGCTTTGCCTTTATTTTCTTGTTGAGACACTCTATATCATAATCATGAGACCTGAGGCTGATTTTCATGTTTCTGTAGCACCAGCTGACTGAGGACCAGCGCCCCTTTAAGAACACAGTCCCTGTCATCCCAGAGGGAGAACACTGTCTGAAACAAGCAACATTCAGAAAATGGTTGTTGTGTGGTCTCTTGTCTCATGTGGGAATGGTGCGTGGTCCTGAGTAGCCACACACCTGCCAATGCTTGTCTTTATCACTGAGTTACAGCATACTGAAATCCGTGGTTTTCAGCTTCATTCCTCTATAGATTCTCTTTTCTCCCTCCCAAACCTTAATCACCCTCGTGAATGCGTGGAGTACTTGATTATAGAGGTGTTGTTTCTATGAGATTTGCTTTCACCCCTGCAAAGAAGGGATGCTACTTTAGGTAATCAGGCCAAACTTCAGTATTGCACAGATATAGGTTGATCCCTTTGTCTTCTACTTCCTAAGTCAAAAGGTATCCCTGAAAAAAAAAATTTCCTATATACATATTTACAGATAAATGGAAATATTTTCTAGCATAACCCGGATTTATGTTTAACTTTTGGTTTTTCCAAGAATATTTAAGTCATGTTTTTTCTGTATTTACAGATTTTCTGGTGTTTCAAGACACATTATAGTAGAATTGCATTCTGATTTAACACATTTTATTGAGCACTGGATAAGTTAGGCGTAATGTTCTATTCTCCCAGAATTAAAAGATCACTAGACATAAATCCTTCCCTCAGGCAGGCTAGCACGCACATTCACACAACCATAGACACACATTGTGGTAGCTCCATCCAAATTAAATGATCAGCACAGAAGAAAATGATCGGCCCGGGGCAGCAAAAGGAAGCACTTCACCTCCATTCAGTTAGGAGAAGAGAGCATAGGGACACAGAAGGCCCGAAGGCATGTAACAAGTAGTGCTGGCCACTTGAGTTAAATGTGCAATGGGAAGAAGTATGTGGGTGTGGAATTGGGGGTGGGGGTGAACCCACACAGATAAGTAGGGTCAGATTACGAAAGTAAAAGTGGTATACTTAGGAGCTTGGTCTTTGTTATGAGGCTGGAGGGGTCATTGCAAGTGCCTAAGTAAGGAGTGAGAGGATCAGTTTTTGTTTTACAAGTAGGATTCTAGCCGTAATGTGGCAGATGTGCTGAACTGGGGACGACGGGAAAGGAACTGATGGCCGTAAACAGTCCAGGCCAAAGGGTTGTGGGACCAAATTCCAGGTTCTGGCAGAGCCAGGAGCACTGGTGACAAGAGAGGGGGCATTAATACAGAGTTTGGTGAGATGTCCTCCATAGAGGTGGGAGTGAGGATGACTCTCAGGTGTGAGGAAGTAAAGCCAGAAATTGTGAAGTCAAAAATTGTAAAATCAGGAATTTCTAAAGAAAAAATTTTAAGCAGGGAAGAAGAAAATTTTGAACATAATGATTTTAAGCTGCCATGTAGTGCTATTACTAGAAATAAAGAAAAAGATGATAGTCGAATCCGACATTTATTTATGCAGAGTGTTTTAAGTGTGAACCTTCTTTAGTGTCAACATTAATGAGAAGTGCCAAAACAATGCTAATGACCTCTTCAGGCTTGTTTTCTTACTATTTAAGAACATTCTAAGTGCATGTGCAATAACTTGATAGATGTAAGCACTTGGTGACAAAACAAATTGAGGATATATGTAACATTCCAGCCAAAAAATGACATCTTTTGAATATCCATGTGCAACTCTTAGGGTATTCTTGGACATAGGCTTGGACTGTATCATCTAATTAAGCAGGGTTTACATGTAATAATTTTAATTTTTTAAGTTGACTCATGAATTAGAGAGTGGAGAGATCATGGGCTTTGCTACAGTTTATAAAGGTTATGAAAATCAAAACACTTTCAAAACCTTGCTAATAAGGTATCTTAATATTTCATGCACTACTGCCACCACCTTAAGCTGAAGCAGAAGAACAGTGGTGCCATTTTTTGTTTACTGTTAGTAAACAGGAGCTCACTCTGCCTCAGCTTTATTTTTTACCATTTTCTAACTGTTTAGTGGGAACAGTAGAGTATAGTAGTTATGGCTTTGGTTTCTGAATGAATCCTTATTCTCTTAATGGTTATTTTCCCATGAACTAATTTAGATTATAAAATAATCCAAGTATATATATGCATACATGGTGAAGACCCCCCATAAATGATACCGTTTATCTTGAAATCTTACTTAAATCTTAATATCTTAAATTCTAAGCCACTTGGCTATTCAGTTTTATTTTCCCTACTCAGGATTTACTGCAGAACTCTTTCAGAGAGGGATATGTGATGGAAAACAAAATCTCCTACCTCAGTGCTTACAGATTTCAGGGCCACGTCTCTTACCCTCTCTCCCCATCTCCCCTAGTCTTTATTCTCAGCTTTCTACCCTGGTGATCTGAAACCTACTCATACTCAAGCAGTTATGGGTCTCCTCATAAGGACAGTGTGCAAAATGATGAGGTTTTCCCCCCATTGGTATGTTTGATAATGATCTTGTCTGTTGGCAAAATCATGAGGTTAAAATGAAAGTCTTAAAGGTATTTAACACCTTTTCACTTCTCACTATGTGGGCAGTTACAGGAATGGAATGGTTAGGTGTCCCAAAGAGGGAAAGAGCCATGAGGAAAATCAACTGTGATATACCTTGGGTCTGTCAATTTACTAGAATTTTACTTTTCACTTTGAACTTGGCTTACATAAAAAGCAAGGCTAACATAAAGAGATTTTTGTTATGTGTTTTGGTTTTAAGTATTTCAAATAAAAATTAAAGAATTGCTAATGGACACAGAATGTATTTTCACTTGCTATCTCGTTTTCTAAAGCTTTTATTTAGGTGGTTTATTACTAAGTGGCAAAGAATTAGTAATTTTTTTAGCACTTAATTCATACACCAGGTTTGGAGCAAACTTATTTTTCATTATTAAATTTCAGTTTTTATTTCTTAAATTAGTTTTAGTTTGCTTTTTATTTCCCAAGTAGTCTTTAAAAACCTGCAAAAGATTGAGTTTACAAAGCATTGGACAGTTTGTATGCAGAGATTTAAATATACTAGAAAAATATTAAATGTCACTTAATTTATCTTGGCCTAAATTATCTTGAGTGAAGCAGTTGAGTCACATGATTTCCAAATGCTTTTTTCCCAACTTTAAAGATTGACACTATTTGTTGAGGAAATGATATGCCGCTGCTAAATTTTCTGTGTACTAGAAATTTAAAATAGGACCTTATATAATTAAATTGCAAAGGAAAATACATAAAGACTAACATGTTTGAATTTTAATATTTTGTTTAAAAACATATATTTGAACTTAGGTAACAGCTTGGGATTTCAAATGGGTAGTGTGAGATTTTGAAAGATTACAGAGGTTTTTCATTTGTGTCTTATAGCATGTTGCCACTAGGAGAATAACTTCTTAAACACCTTTTCTTTTGCTTTTAGGATTTTCTCATTCAGCATTTACCTTTGGTATAGAAAGCCATATTAGTCAATCAAACATAAATGGTGCCCTCGTCCCACCTGCTGCGTTGATTTCTATAATCCAGAAAGGTCTGCAGTATGTAGAGGCAGAAGTTAGTATTAATGAGGTAAGGAATACTTATTTCAAATATTCTTAGTTTTAAATATATTCTTAAATCTGATATCTTGTTTGCTCATTCATTATCTGACTTCAGCTTCTCTGAACTAACACAGTGAAGGGTGGCGTTCTTAATGTAACGGTTGGGTCCCACAGGCAGATTACATTGGCTGCCAACTGTAAGGGTCGTTATCTGTAGCTTATTTCACTTTAAATGGTTTTATAAGTGAACAGTAATGAGCAATTTTCTTTGAAACAACAGCATGGTGCTGTGGAATGCTAAACCCATAATTGATGGTCTAAAAAATCAGAAAATCTCAGATTTTATTTGGTTATACCTGATTTGGAAGGCAATTCATAATTAAAGCTAATTCTTGATACTATTGCCTATTTAAGGTCCATATATTGGTAGTTATACTCAGGAGTCAGCCAGCTATGTCCCATGAACCAGATCCAGACTGCTGTTTGTTTTTGTGAAATTTGGTTGGAACATACTCGTGCTCATTCATTGACATAGTTGTCTGGCTGATTTTGTGTTACTGTGGCAGAATTGAGCAGTGGTGACAAAACTTACAGCCTGCAAAACCTAAAATATTCACTGTCTGGTCTTTCACAGAAAAGGTTCACAGACCCGGCACTAGCTGAAAATTTTCACATGGTCAGGATTAATGATATGTGTAGCTTTTACCTTATTTTCATTTCAGAGATTAACATGTCCCCCTTCCCTTTCACAAATACATACTGTGAAAAAATACTTTCATAAGTATTTTTATATATTTATAAAACTGAAGCATCCATGGCTTCCATATCAGTATTTATTACTATGATTACATGTATACTAAAATTGATTTTATTAGCTATGTTTCCTCATCTTGGTCACTGAAAAATCTGCTAATACTAAATGAAATGTGTCCTCACTGTCTCAGTACTTAACTCCCAAAAGTATCCCTTACAGAGGGTGATAAAGTTTCCACCAGTGGTCAGAGATGAAGTCTCATTTTATCTGAAAAACTTTTTGTAGGTTCAGTATAGTAGTCCACAGTGCATCTGTGTTGGTTTTAATATTTTTAAGTTACAATTTGAAATGCTTTCACCTGCCCCTCAAATACTCCATTACAACAGCAACTTAAAAAGGTGTGGTATGTCTCTGCAACTCAGAGCACCCATCACAGCACCGCAGATTGACAGTAGCGCCTGTTCGTCAACCTACATGAGGCAGGCTTCACCAGAATGTGCATATTGTTAGCTAATTTGTGCTGTGTCTGTTGAGTTGGCCAAAAGGTTTCTCTAGTTTTTTCTGAACAATGACTCAAGTAGTGTTTAGTTGTCTTTAACTTCATTTGAAACAATTTCATTAGATTGTATTGTGACAGGTCTCATATCAGTGTGCATTTAAAAAAACTTATCAAAATTGGTAAATTTTTGTGTAGCCATTTTAATATTGAAGATGAAAGAAGAGTCACAACATTTTTGGTGTATTATGCTTAATTATTTTGAGGAAGGTAAAAATGCAACTGAAACTCAAAAGAAGATTTGTACAGTGTCTGGAGAAGGTGCTGTGACTGATAAAAATTGTCAAAAGCAGTTTGTGAAAAATCTTGGTACTGATGACATTTTAACTAAACAATTCTTTGCTGTGGGGCTATCTTAATGAGTTCTGTCCAGAAGGTATCTAGCCATGTAATATGAAACATAGAGACATTCATTGAAGAAGATAAAAAGAAACACTGTACATAGGACAATGATACCTCAGTCCCCCTCAGAGTAGGTACCTTGGGACCTCACACAGTTCTCCCAGTCTCCATCAGCTGCCCCATCATATTTTCCTGAATCTCCTTGAAGGTTGAAATCTCTTTCCTTTCAAAGGTGATTTTAGTTTTAGAAAAAGCCAGAAGTCACAGGCGCCAGATCTGGGCTATAGGGGGGCTGCGTCATCTGGGTGATTTGATGTTTGGCTAAAAAACTCTACATGAGACGTGATACATGAGTGGACCTGTTGAGATGAAGCTGCCAATCACCAGTTGGCCTTCTGAATCTTCCAAATAGTTCCTGCAGAGGAATGTTCAAGCTTAATGTGAAATTTGATACAAGCTTGTTGCTGTACTTGCTCAGTCATTTTGAATGCGACAGCTACACAGTACACAATGCTCACTCAACAGCATCTACAGCCCCCCAATTAGTATGGTGAAGTCATCGTTGTTCATACATATGCATTCCAGTCCACTCTCCTTGGCTGCCAGGTTACATGGATGTTGCGTAAACCATTCATGACGGACTTCGTATGCATTGGAAGATGCTTAGCAGCACCCCTGGCCTCTACCCACTAGATTCCAATAGCAGGAGATAGCTGACAGACTCAAAATACCCCAATCAATGAATTTATTGGTGAGAATTAAAAATGTGTCTTTTATTTTAGGAATAAAACTAAAAGGACTTTTTGGCCAACCCAATATCTCTGACTTGTTCTGTGCTGTGTTTGTGTCTCCTCTCATGCTTGCTGGAGAGCCTTTATTAATTATGAACTTTCTAACATCCATGAGAGGAGCTTTAAAAAATTTAAGGAAGTCCATAAAATTAAAGAGCACCCGCCTGTGATTTAAGATGGTGCTTCTCAAATGTTAGTGCACGTAAACACCCAGAGAGCTTGTTGAAACATACTTCATAAGCCCTTCAGAGATGCTGATTCTTTGAACCTACATTTCTAACAGGTTACCAGATGGTAGTGGTCCTTGGGTCACACTCTGAGTAGCACTGGTTATGAGATGCCAGCCCTGTTGACAGGGTGGGTTCCTTCAGCAAGGCTTTAACCTTTCCGTGCTTGCCTTCCAACATTAGTAAAATGAAACGTACAGCGTAGTGTCTGAGGTCTTCCCTGTTTTGGTATTTTCATCAAATCACAGGAAACTTTGGAGTCCAACAAAATTATTTAAATGTTTTTAGTTTTAGAGAAGTATTTCCAAATCTTTTACTGTATGAACGATTTCATATTGGCCATTGATTTTGACAGAATCTTGGCATATATTAATTAATAAATCTTTCTGTATCTGGGTCTGCTTGTTATTTCTTTCAATGTGTCGGCTTTATCTGTGAAACATATAACAATAAGAACCAGGTTAGGAGGAAAAATTAAACAGCTATTTGCAGTTGCTTCTTGAAGTTTTTCTTTTCTTTCCTCTGACTCCTTTCTTTCTTACATGTATTCAGAAATTTATCTAAAAGTACTTTGCCTTGGAATGAAGCTTTTTACTTCTGTTGTTGACTTGTATGAATGCATATTACCCTAAATGTGTTACCTTTGACTTCTCTCACAATTTTCCAAATCCAGGATGGTACCTTGTTTGATGGTCGACCAATAGAGTCTCTGTCACTGATAGATGCCGTAATGCCTGATGTAGTACAAACAAGACAACAAGCTTACAGAGATAAGCTTGCACAGCAACAAGCAGCAGCTGCTGCAGCTGCCGCAGCTGCCACAAACCAACAAGGATCTGCAAAAAATGGAGAAAACACAGCAAATGGAGAGGAGAATGGAGCACATACTATAGCAAGTGAGCAGAGATAGAATTTTTAAAAATTACTTTTAGGAGAAATGTTTTGCTTTATAGGGATGTCGCCTCTTCTAAGCCAAAATGACATCATCTCTATCATTTATGCCAACTTGTTCCCTTAACTCATATCACACAGTTTGGATTTTTATTCCTAAAGATTCAAAAAGCCAGGTTTACATTTGTGGATTTTATTTTGTTTTTAAAAATATTTAGAAACCGTTTTTCTGTGGTTAAATGAATTTTGTATCTGCATTTGTTTTTTAAATAAAACTTGTAATACTAGTCGGTAACAAATACAATGAAGCTCCTGACATGGAGATACAAAGGCAGTTCTCGTGTTATATGAATGGTATCAGCAACCCCTGCTGGCGGGAACTCGGAATAGTGTTGGCCTGGGTTGTATTCAGTTCAAAATGTTTTGTCATTTTAGGTACATTTTGTGGGTCTAACCTTTTGCATTTCTCTACCCTCACCCCCCAGGTCTAAACACACAATTAAATAGATAGACATATCTTTTGAAAATAGTATGGTCATACTTAACTGAAAATAAGAAGTTATTTTCCATGTGATAAGTACCATGTGTTCAAGTTACACTGTATATTATAAAGTATTTTTACCAGCATGTTGTGATGTTACCTAACTGGGATTTTCCACTCGTTTCCTGTGCTGCAGACAACCACACTGATATGATGGAAGTGGATGGGGACGTTGAAATCCCTCCTAACAAGGCAGTTGTGCTGCGGGGCCATGAGTCTGAAGTGTTCATCTGTGCCTGGAACCCCGTTAGCGACCTCTTGGCGTCAGGGTATGTTTGCCAAAGTGAAAACAAAGTGAATGTTTAAAAATCTCTGGCTGCACCTGTTGTATTTTATAAATACGTTATTTGTGTTTTCAGGTTTCTGTTGCTTGTTAGTGGTCATTTTGCCTCTGTAAATCTTCATTCCTTTATAAAATAATCTTAGAAGTTTTCATTCAACTTACTGCTTCAAATGTGCTTGGGGACCTCAAAATGGCAACAGAAAAAAAATACTGGATGTGGAAATTTTGATACTCTTCTTTGTTTTGCCTTATTAATATTAGGATATAAATATAGATATTATGAGGATTTAAAATGTATTGCATCCTTTGTAGGTCTGGAGACTCGACAGCAAGAATATGGAACCTTAGTGAAAATAGCACCAGCGGCTCCACGCAGCTAGTACTTAGACATTGTATACGAGAAGGAGGGCAGGACGTCCCGAGCAACAAGGACGTGACCTCTCTAGATTGGAATGTGAGTATCACTCCATTGTCCATGGTGGGTTTCTTTACTAATATAATTCTCCGAGCCTTAGACTAGTGGCAGCATTCGTCCCTTTGTTCAGCTGGTTTTGGGTTTCACTAACTAATGAGGACAACAAACAAGAAGTCTTCATTCCCAAGTGTGGTGTTAAAAACAAAGATTGGCTCTTGAATAGTCAGACTAAGGTTCAGCCTTCAGCTTTTCTTTATCTAACAGCAGAACCTTCGTAAAATTGGTGGTCGACCACCCTGTGCTTCATTTTACATGGATATTGACTGTGATAATGGTACCTCCATAAATGAGCTAATAGAAGAAAATTAGTAATAGGCACATATGAAATTCTTAACCAGTAAGTCCTTTGCAGGGGGATAAGAGAAATCTGTATAATAAAAACACGCTCTTGTTCTTCTCGGTTGGCTATGATCTGATGAAAACTTCATTGCCGGCTACCATTTAGGGGTCAATAGTCTAGATTACTGCCAAGCTTTATAGTAATTTTGTAAATACATGATTTAACATTCTTCAGGGATAACTTGACTACTCTGACTTACTAGAAAGTTTGTTTTTATTGTTGATAAAGCTTCAGCCCTTCAGTTTCAAGTATGTGATTAATATCTTTGTTTCTTTCCATTCCCATTATTAATATATAGAAACTTCATATTTTTAAAATTCCTATATATTTTTCTTTGTTCCATGTTGCTCTTTTCCTTCCTTGTAACTTTGTATCCATTTTTTACCTTTCTGCTCCTTTAGGTACATTTTTTCCCTCCAGGAAGCAGCCTTTTTAGACTATTTCAAGAATTTTAGGGATTGGCCATTCTTCCCTCAGCAAGTGAACATCCTTTCCTCCTACAGCTTCTACTTAACAGTTTTTTTGTGGGGTTTTTCCAAAGGATCTTCCACATTGCATTCCAAGAAATGAGAGCTATGTTTAAAAACAAATACTATGGCTAAAGTTCTGAATTCCACCAGAACTCATAGCTAGCGTTTTTTGTTTTGCTTTGTTTTGTTTTATCATTCTCTTCTAAAATTCCCAGTAATGTATTTACCCTCCTCCTTATAAAGGTGACCATTGTAAAATGAAAAGAGGGTTATCACATTGCAGTACTGTTTGGTTGCAGGGTCAGTACTAATGTCATCTTAATATGGGACCTTATTATTATATTAGGTCAAAACCTCATAGCATTCTTAAGCTATTGGGCTCAGAGACTGTGTTAATTTAATGAAATTTACAGTTTTCACTGAAAAGGATGGTAAACATTGATTTGTTGAGCTTACTGATTCTGAACTGCAAATTACATTTTTAAAATGTGGACTTTTTGAAAATATATTATTCACAATGTACTTGAATTTTCCACTAAAAGGCAAAAACATTATCCTTAATTAATGTTTCTTTTTCACACCTAAAGCAAGAGCCTGACATATTGGGCGTTTAAAGTATTTTTTTCCAACTTCAATGGTCCATGAACTAGAACATTTGGGGGGACTGTTAGTTTAAAAGGAACCACCCACTGTGCAGAGTCTGGAAATAAGCTTTGGCGGTTGGCTTCACAATGGCTGCTGCTTCCTCAGGTGGAACTGTAGAGGGTGTCTAGATCCTGGCAGGGTGGAATCTACAACCCCCAGAACTGGCATTTGTTTGTCACTTACCTGTACAGCTCAATGGCTTGAGCAGTCTGAAAAGGACAGTGGTTTCAGTGCCCGTACAAAAAGCAGCCAGAAAGTACTTAGGTAAGGCAGGATTTCATTCTGTGTCTTCAGTACGGTGTACTCGTCCTTGCAGTAGTTTGTGTAATATGCTCTATAACATGTAGGTCCATACAGTGTTAGATCTGCCCTTCCACTGTGCCATCCATCCAGGCAAGGCAAGCTTAGAAAAATCAGAATGGATTTCTCGTCTCCGTCAAGTCACTCCAGGCAATTGTACTCAATCTTTTTCCTGTCACCTGCTCTCTTTTTTGGCTCTTTTTCTTGTGTTGCTTTTTTCACTGGTCAGGATTTTTATTTGGAAAGATTTAGAAAGAAACATTCAGTGATATTTAAGAACTGATTCAGTGATCATCTGAAACAGCATTATTTGTATCATATAACACATTTTGTTTAGACAGTAAAAGTTTAAAGAGGGTCATAGCTTATAGTCATAATGAAATATTTTGGAAGATTTTGCTGTTTTACTTCTATTTAATTATTAAAAGGTTACCACTTTAATTATTAAAAGGTTATCATTTTGATGTCCTTCCCAGACTTCCAGCCTTTCCCAGCTTTAGCTGTGTGTGTCCTCAGCACACAGGGAGTGAGGTGGGTTCTGTTCCAGAGCAGTCGTTGCCATTTTTGAGGTTAGGACACAGGCTTGCACTCTGGCTAAGTGCCGCCAGAACTTTAGCTTCACAGTGGTAAAGGGGGTTTCATAGACCTTGGTGGCATTCCCAAATAGGCAAAACTGGAAAGTTTTGAAGCAGAGAATGTCGTTTAAACACAAAATATTTTAATAAGTTAAGTGCCATTTGTGGATTGCATAATTGAAAGAAATGTGTTTCTCTGACAGAGTGAAGGTACACTTCTAGCAACTGGTTCATACGATGGGTTTGCCAGAATATGGACTAAAGATGGTAAATGAAGCATTTTTCTTTTCATTTGTTGTTGGTTTAAGTTACAAAGCTTGAATTAATTTTAATTTTTCTTTTAAATTAGGTAACCTTGCTAGCACCTTGGGGCAGCATAAAGGCCCTATATTTGCATTAAAATGGAACAAGAAAGGAAATTTCATCCTAAGTGCTGGAGTAGACAAGGTAAAAGAACATTAAACTACGTTCTGTAAAGATTACTGTGTTACAGAACATAATCTCAAGTAATGTGCTTGCTGCTCATTATGTAAACAATAAAACATTCGTATTTGGGAAATTCAAGTATGAATTTGTGGTAGTAACAAATACTTGCTTAGATTTTCTGTCAGCTCATTCCTGAACCTACTCATCAGAATGCCTTTTATTCTTTGAGTGGCTGCACTCCTCATTGTGCTGGCATTTGTGCCATAACGAATGTCGTGCTCTTTGCTCCCTTCTCAAGTTCCTAGTTTATCTCATCAGTGAATGCGGCTCTGGAGTGATTCCGTGGGAAGTCTTAGAGCCAGTCTGTTAGCCGGAACTCCTGGTGCTTAATTGAAAATGTAAAAAGTGCAGGATCTTTCCAGCTTTTTCACCTAATTAAGCTGGTAAATATGCATAGGTTGGAAATACGGTCTTTTTTTTCTCCTTTGTTTTCATAGGTCATCCCCTTACTACACCTCCTAAAATGAATCCAGGTTTAGGATTATTTGAATCTAGGAAAACACTTGCTTGTAGGTAACTGGGTGTGTTGTCAAAAGGAAAGAACAGTGAAGGCAGCCAGGATTGGAAGGCAAAACCGTGTTAATAGTCACTGCGCTGCGCAGTGCTTTACGTCCCCAGAAGTACAAAATCAGTGATGAGGGAGTGTGGGAAGGAAGGGTGAATATATCCATTCAGATTTATATGTCATATTTTGATGTAAAAGACAGTTTTAAATATTGTCAAAATTCAAGCTGCCTTTATATGTAAATGTGAGCTTTAAAAATCTTAATACTGAGAATTGGCTGACTACTTAATGAAGAATTTTTCTTCTTACAGCTAAGTGGCTATAAAAAACTTAAGTTCACTATCACTGTGGCGTTTTTAAAGCAATCTTGGTGCTTTGTAGACAAACCAATAATTGTTATTTCAACTAAGTTTACTGATGAAAAACCATTAGGGAAGAATTAAACTGCTTACTTGTTACCACCCCCACCCTCCTCACCAGCCCCGAAAGTGGAGTATTGCCTCATTTGCACAGTTTGGGAAAGGTAAATGTTAACTATTAAATCCACTCTGGCATCATATTATTTTAACATTTTTAGGACTCTAACTTCTGCATTATCATAAATTCCTTTTAACTTCTTAGTGGTGTATTTTCCTTTTTAACACCAGACAACAATTATTTTCCTTTTTCCTTTTTAACACCAGACAACAATTATTTGGGATGCACATACTGGTGAAGCCAAGCAGCAGTTTCCTTTCCATTCAGGTAAGTCTGTACACTGTACATAAGAACTGGGACTTTTATCTGTTTCTCTAAACCTTTAACAGCATAAAATCATTTAAAACCTCAACGCATCAAATATCAATCTTGTTACTAGCTCTTTGAGGTGGTGATGTTCCATGACTTTCAGATGGCTTATTGTTAAAGGATCATCAAAAGTTTCCTGTGAAATGTACCATAATAAAGAATTTGAGGCCTAGTTCATATTATTTAATGGTAAGGACATAGATTTTTTAATCAGAAGGTCAAGGTTTGAATGTCAGTTTCAACCCACTTAACAAGCTTTAGCACTGAGCAAGTCACTTAAACTTTCTGAGCCTCATTTTCTCTGCCTGTAGAGGAAGGGTAATAATATCTGTCTGTTATGAGGATAAGACTAAGTAATGTATATCAAAATACTGTATACGCTCCTACAAATTTAGGTATTGTTACATTTCTTATTTGGGATTGATATATCTAAATCAGTCCACATGTGTAGATCAAATAAAAGTTAGGCTTTTCCAGTGTTCTTGAAACTTTGGTGCTATAGATGGATTTTTCCTTTAAGAAATAATTTGATACTTAAGTTGATAGGTCTGACCCACAAAACAGTGTGCTCCCTCAGTCATGATGTGTAGGCATGCCCCAGGACGCACAACCCAATGATGGGAGATGGGTGCCTTTTAGTGCCTGTGCTCTTTCGCAGCCTAGAACCTCGTACTTGCTTTCAGCGGGTTTCCTGATGGCAGCAGCTGATAGTAGACTAGAAAGAGAGGCCTACCTAATAACTACTAGGACAGTAGTTTTAGTATTATACCATCTGATTTAACTGCTTCTTTCAAGGTTTTGGTCTGGAGATTTCGTTTGGTGGCTGGCTAAAGTAAATGGTTATTTTCAAGTCTTTGTAACATCTTTTTCACAGAGAGTGTGGCACAGCACCACTTTTAAAAACAAAGTTACAGCTCTGGCAGTTTGCTTTTCTGCCTCTATTTAGTGTAACTAAACAATCAAGGCACAAAACTATTTTTCTTACTGTCTGAGTAATATATTTTGCAAGCATAAGGTTAAAAAAACTCAGCTTGATTAAAGCTTACCACATTAATAGGCATTTACATATCAGTTTTCGTTCATCTTTGCTTCTAGTCTTCACCCAAATAAAATTCTGTTAGGCCTCTAGCTATTTCATGTAAAAGTCTCTCCTGCTTCCTAGAAGTGGTTGAATATTGACGTAAGTGTGTGTGTGGTGTGTGCTGCGTGTGTGCTAGAGGTGCTGCCCTTCGTGAATATTGACGTAAGTGTGTGTGTGCGGTGTGTGCCGTGTGTGTGCTAGAGGTGCTGCTCTTCATGAATATTGATGTAAGTGTGTGTGCGGTACTGTCAGTGGCTGCTGTGTGGTGTGTGCCACGTGTGTGCTAGAGGTGCAGCTCTTCATGCACACAGTCCTGTTCAGTCCTGGCAATGTCCTCATGAGGCAGATGGGGTTCAAGTCATCTCACAAGTTACATAGCTTTTTTACCTGTAGCAATCTTTCTTGCCATGCCTTTCGGTTTTTAGAACAGCTTTATTCAGGTATAATTAACAAAAAACTACAGGATGGGACAGAAGTAGGTTTACAGTTGTGAGTACACAAAACAGTTTATTCTTACATTATTTTATTGTATTATTTTCCATATGAACAACTGTAAACCCACTTTTGTGCCACCTTATATATGTATTTAAATATGTATTTAAATTATACAATTTGATGTGTTTTGACCTATGTATATAGTATTGAATCCACCATCACATTCAAGACATTGAATTGTGGTAAATCTGTTGGCTTCAGAAGTTTCCTCCTCCCCTTTGCAGTCCTCACCCCCATCCACAGGCAAACTACTGATAATTGGTTTACATAATGTTAACAGAATCACACAGTATGTATTCTTTTTTGTAATTATTTTGTTTTCAATTGATGAGTAGTATTTCATTGTGTGTGTGTGTGTGTGTGTGTGTGTGTGTGTAAGTGTGTAAAGGCACCACAGTTTATTCATCACCTACTGAAGAATATTTGGGTTGTTTATGGTTTTTGCTTATTACAAACAAAACCACTATCAATGTTCATGTACAATTGTGCTTTCATTTCTCCTGTGTGAATATATAGAAGTGGAATGAGTAGATCATACGCTAGGTGTATGTTCAACTTGTTAATAAACTGCCAAACTGTTTTCCACAGTACATTTTCCAAAGTGGTTTACATTCTTACCAGCAGTGGATATTCCAGTCTCTCTGTATTATTGCCAGCACTTTGTTTATGTGGTCAGTCTTTTTAATTGTAGCCAATTTAAGGTGTGTGTAGTAGTATCTCACTGCGGTTTTAATTTGCACTTCCTAATGACTAATGATGTTGAGCATCTTGCCATCTTTATGTCTTCTTTGGTGAAGTACCTGTTTAAATTTTTGACCCTTTAATTATTTTTCTTATTATTGAGTTTTGCCAGTTCCTTATGTATTCTGGATGTAAGCCTTTTATCAAATATTTACAAATATTGTCTTGTAGTCTGTGGCTTGTCTGTGCATTGTTTTGACAGTGTCTTTGGAGATCAGAAGTTATTAATGTTGATGAATTCCATAATTTATTAACTCCTTTATGTGTCATGCTTTTAGAGGTTGAGGTCACTGGTTTTTGAGACTTTTCTGCTTTTCAGATATGGGAATGTAGTACTAAAAATGTACCTCTAACTACTTAAGTACTTAGTGACATCTCAAAATACTTTCCACTTTTGATTTATTCTTTGATCTTAAAAGAGTGTTAATTTCTGAGTATGTGGGAAGTTTCCAGATATCTTTGTAATACTGATTTCTAATTGTTCCTGTAAGTGTTATTTAGGTCGAGTTGTTTGATGATGCTCTTCAGATCTTTTATAGCCCTACTGATTTTTCCATCTACTCATACAGTCCATTGAGAGAGGGGTATTGAAATCTTCAACACAGTTGGAAACAATTTTTGTTTCCTTTGAAGCTCTGTCAGTTTTTGCTTTATGTATATTGAAACAATGTTATTAGAGACGGGAACATTTAGGGATGTTACATCCTCGTGTTGAAATGACCCCTATATCATGTTATTAATGAGCATCTTTTTTTTTCCTTTTTCTGTTCCTTGAAATTTAATTTATCTGATATTAATATAGTTCTCCCAGTTTTCTTTTAGTTAGTACTGGCATAGTACATATTTTCCCATCCTTTTACTTTCAATCTATTGATGTCTTTATATTTGAAGTGTATTTTATGCAGGCAACATATACTACTTGTTATTCAGTGTCAGTCTTTGTCTTTTAATGATAATATTTAGGACATTTACATTTAATGTGATCATTGATGTAATTATATTTAGATTAATCATTTCTATATCTCTTGGATATAGAAATATGCCTCCTTTTGGATTGAGTATTTTTATGATTATATTTTCCCTCCTTTGGTGGGTTAATAACTTAAGGTTTTTTTTAAAGATTTTATTTATTTATTTTTAGAGAGGGAAGGGAGAGAGAAAGAGAGAGAGAAACATCAACATACAGTTGCTGGGGGCCATGGCCTGCAACCTAGGCATGTGCCCTGACTGGGAATCGAACCTGCGATGCCTGGTTTGCAGCCCGCACTCAATCCACTGAGCTATTGCCAGCCAGGCCAAGTTTTTTTATTTTAATGGTTACGTTAGGATGTATAGTACACATCTTTATTAAAGGTACCAGCTACCTTCAAGTAATATTTAAAAGAGATTAAATCATTAAATAGGTTTTACTGCTATAGCTACCATTTTTAACAGTTCATTCCTCTGCATAGATACACATTTCCATTTGTTGTCATTTCTTTTTTGCCTGAACTACTTTAACAGTTTGTATAGTGCAGATCTGATGCTGATGAATTCTTTTAGATTTTGTACAGCTGAACAAATCTTTATCTCACTGTCATTTTTGAAAGATTTGTGTTGGGTATATAATTCTGGGATTTATAGGGTTTTGTTTCTTTCAGTACTTTAAAGAAAATGTTTCATTCTTTTTTTATTTACTTTATTTTTTATTTGAAATTGCTACCATTTTATCCTTACTACTCTGTCCATGATTGTCCTGTTTTCCCTGGTTTCTTTTTTTAAGAGTTTCTTCTTACCACTCATTTTGGCAAATTTGAGTATCATACCTTGGTAATGTTTCCTTCATGTTTGTTGTCCTCGGAACTAATTAAATATATTGGTTCATAGTTTTCTGTAAATTAAAGTAAAAAAATTGACCTTTTTTTTCACCCCCCCCAACCTGAGATTCTTATTACATATTTATTAGTCTGCTTGACATCCTACAATTTGCTGATGCTCTGTTTGTTCTTTTTCGGTCTTTCTATTTTGTTTTTAAATGTTGGATTATTTCTGTGCTGTTTCCCAGTCCACAAAATACTTTTCATCTGTAACGTCAAATTTGCAGTTTATCCTATCTAGTGCATTTTTCATTTTACATTTCAGTTTTTATCTCTAAAAGGTTGATTTAGGTCTTTTACAAATTTTTCGTGTCTCTACTTAATTACCTGAATATATGGTATTTATAGTTGACCCTTGAAGAACATGGGTTTGAGCTGCATGGGTCTATGTATATGCAGATTTTTTTTCAGTAAATACACATTCATCCATCCATATCTTTAGGTTTTGCATTCATGGATGCATGCACCCTTTGATGCAGAGGGCCAACTGCATTTTCCTACACCACTCTATGTAAGGGACTTGAACATCCAGGGATTTTGAGTATTTGCAGGGTTTCTGGAATGATGCCCTCCAGATACCACAGATGACTCTTAGTTGAGTTTTTGGAGAGTCAAAGGTTGCACGCAGATGTTTGATTGCACAAGAGGGGGTCAGTGTCTGCACTATTCAATGGCTAACTGTAGTTGCAGTTGCTTTGATGTCTTTGCTAATTCCACCATGATTTTTTTCTTTATTTGGGCTATATTTTCCGGCAGATTTGCATGCCTTGTTACTTTTGATTGGA